AACGAAGGTAAAGTTTTGCGACTTAATCCACCAAATGCAGCTAAAGTTTTGCGACTTAATGATTCTGGATTGTGTGGTTAGTAAATTCCATAGCCATACTGTCCATAGACCACACTAAACTATGTGCTGATAGAGCATTTTTGGAAAATTGACTCCTTTTTTCCATCCCAAACAAAATATTATTAATAAATCAACATGGTCCATCTCAGTCATCATAGCGAGTCACAAAATGAGGAAGTTTGTTTTCAACAGCAGTCACACACAACAGAACGGAGTGAGTCAAAATCTAAAAAATACGTACTGGCATATTGTAATACACATTCCCTTGTTGTACAGTATGACATGTTTTATTAACATAACATACACTGAAGATCGCCAACAAACTGGGTGGGTACAGTATTCAAAATTTTACGATATGGTGAACTATTTCGATTAAAATGTTGAAAGTGATTATATAAGAATTAGATGAGTCACTGTCAATAAAACAATTCGCGGAAGAGGAGTATTCAAAATATCGGTACTATTAATATGGGACTAATCAGATGACTGACGCCGTTCTCCATCGACAGTTGATTTTATGTACATTATTTATCTACAATTCTTATCTAATACACTAAAGAATATTTGCACTCACAATTTAAAAAAAAAAGTTACCAACAACGACATCTAAATAGCTGTGGGAAAAACAAATTATCAGCCTGCTGCTCTCTGAATAGTGATCATAACTGAACAATAATGATGCAGCAACACGCTTGGTCAACTTGTAAAAAATTCAGAGCCTTCTGTTGTTTGCCCATAAAAAAAAATGTTGGAGTGTTATACAGTACGATTGCAAAACATTGTCATCGTAGGGCCTAATGAAACAGCTATAATATTGAAAACAAACAACTTGAAACAAAATCGGTGTACGGATTCAAATAAATATTTACAATAGATTTTAATGGTCAACTTGTTATCAAATTTTACGACCACTTTTTACATACATTAATTTGTGAGTGACGGTGTGTGATAGACATGCAAAACAAACATTAGCGGTTAGCTGTATAATATCTTTGAATATCATTTTAGACCGATTCATTTATATGCTTGGTCATCTTTTAATCATTTAGAATTCAACAGTTTTTAGTAATAGGGTTCGTATCTCTACACTTCTAGACGTAGTATCAAATTTCAGTTGCCATAGACCCGGTTTCATACACACTCGCTTAAGTAAATTTCAAAGGAAACTGTTTTCCCCATTTTTCTTTATTGTTAAATACTCCTATGCAATACTGTAGGCCCCTGGTATAAAATTGACAGATCAATTCGACACTCTGTAAAGATCGATTATGCCTTTTTATATAATATTGTAGGCCATAGGCCTAATGTGTGTGAAGTACTGACTTTGTTAATATCGAATGGGTGAAATTGCGCACAAACTTCAAATTCTTGTCCTAACATACAGAGGAAAGGATATCACGTTTTAGTGAACAAAAAGGATTTTCCACGGACGCACAGAGTAGGCCTTATAGTAGGCCTATGGCCCAAAACGAACGAGTTTCTGGTCTCGAAAACCCAGATACTTCGTTAAGGCCTATACAGTACAAAATACTGTACAGTTTATAATTCATTGAAAAGGCTTTAAAATGAAGGACTTTTAAATGAAGAATATTTTGAGAATCTTGGGTTTTTAAAAGCAATCTTGGGAATTTTGATTTTCCCTAGTGGTCACGCTGCATTAGAGACAGAATTGTACCCCGACGACATCAAACTAGTGTAGGCCTGGGCTTAAGTACAGTAGGATGTACTACTAGGCCTAGGCTTTTGTTGTAAAAGTTGAAGTGCATGTACTAGGATGCTCCATAGGCCTATATTTCAAAAAAATACATTTTGTTAATTATTATTGGTTGGCCTGGGACCTAGGCAGGCAGGCATTGCCGTCGAAAGTCCTGGGATTCGACGATGACGTCAGTGCACATGTTTACAAACGCCATTGATTGGAATGAANACAAGATTAATATTGTAGAAATTGTATTTCTAAAGATTCAAATATAATTCATATTTCATTTGGTAGACAATAAATATTCAGTAAGATAAAAAACGATTATTAATTCTGAAATGTGCATCAAATATCAGCTATTATTAATCAGTATGTATTAGATTAAAGTCTTAAAATAATAATTTCGAATTATAACAAATAATTGTAATTAAAGTTTAGGTTCCCATGATGTCAGATGACGTATTCAATATGATGCTATATTTTGGGCTCTGACTTAATTTAACGATGTCCCTGTCAGTTGCAGAGTTGTGACAATATTTGTGCTTTTTTAGCCATGTAGTAAAAAATAGTACTATTATTTTCAGTGTACAAGATGAGAGTCAAGAAGAAGTTCAGCTCCTACTTTATTTTGTAACAGGCAGCTCTATTTGTTTATATAGGCCTACTGGAATATTCATTATTTAAGTTACAAGACAAAACTTCTTAAATGTTTTATATATTATAAAGAAGCACAGTACATAATTCTTTGTAAATTACTTTATAGGCCTATATAATAGCTTGTTTTGTTTTATAATAATAAATGTGTTGAGTATATTGACATTGATTATGCGATGAGGGGTTTTTTTTTGTCTTTCGGTGTGATTTAAACATGCTAATTCTCAGAAAATATTTTTCAATTTTATTATATTACCACATTTTATTACATAGATCTTTTTCAAAACATAACTGCTTTTATAACATTACATAGACCCATTAAACACAAAAACTGCTCTGGCTTCAGGGGCTTCGCCCCCACCCACCGGGGCACTTAGGCAGTCCCCTGGCCCCCACGCCCAGAGAACCCCCCTTGAAATGACCTGGCTACGGGCCTGCAATATAAAATACTGTACTGTAAACTTTTTAGAGATTAGCAGCGGACCCAGAAATTGAAAAATAGAGGTGACCACGGTGGAAATATTAGAGATAGCGCGCAGAATAACTCAGCCCCAACATTTCATGGGGTACAAAAATGGCACTCTGAAATCTAAGTTTGAATGCAATTTTTGTGTCCCCTATTTTTTTTTATTTCAAAAATGTAGGAGTGGGACTAAAATGAAATTTCTGCAGTAATGAAAAAAAATAAATATCATTCTTATGGGGTCGTTCGTGACAATCACGATATTTTCGTAAGTGTACAAACAGTACTATATGTTAAATACTGTATTGCATGTTATTTTGATTCAACATATTCATGTATGTAAGAGTGAACAACTTGGTACCTCCTCCCTCCTATAGTTGTTTGTACACTTGTGAAAATGTTGATAATTGCGAACGAACCCTAAGAAACTGCAATAACGTTACAATGTATTGACGGCTACACTTTCTGAAGGTTTAGCTAAAACAAATTTTAAAATATACAGTACCACAACAATTTCTGAACTGCTTACTTTGTAGACTTGTAGATTGGATGGATATGTTGATATAAATTAATTCGTTTTCTATTGTAAAGCGCTTATGAACTTAATTCGTTTGATCTGTTTCTCATTAATTAAATATTTGCCCGACCGTTGACCACCCGCCGCCCATCTGAGAATGTTGGGTACTATGGAGTCTATACCAGACACCAAAAATCACTGTAATCAGCGACAATACTTACTGTAACAATACGTGTCCTTAGATTTGTTTGTTGTGGGGTCCAGACAGCAATCTTTGTTCTAGATTGACGATCAGTAAAAGAATAAATTGATGTAATTACATTTATATATTTTATGTTGAGTCAACTAT